ATGCACCATTGTAGGTGTGTCATGGGTGTGTGTGTATCGACCGTGTAGTGTTGCATGGGGTGTGTGAGCAACGCACTGCGTAGGTGTGGCGTGGGGTGTGTGAGTATACCACTGTATTAAGGTGTGTGCGTGGGGTGTGGTGTATGTCATTCGGTGTAGGTGGTTGCGCAAAAAGCGGTGTGTGTATATGCACCCGTGTAGGTGTGTGCATGGGGTGTGTGTGTATGCACCCGTGTAGGTGTGTGCATGGGGTGTGTGTATATGCACCCGTGTAGGTGTGTGCATGGGGTGTGTGTGTATGCACCCGTGTAGAGTGTTCATGGTGTGTGTATGTGCATCGTGTAGGTGTGTGCGTGGGGTGTGTGGTATGCATTCCGTAGGTGAGTGGCATGGTGTGTGTGTATACTGCACCCGTGTAGGTGATGGTGCATGGGTGTGTGTGTATGCACCCGTCGTAGTGTGTGCATGGGGTGGTGTATGCGCACCGCGTGTAGGTGTGTCATGGGGTTTATATACAGCACCCGTGTAGGTGTGTGCATGGGGTGTATGTGTATGTGCACCCGTGTAGGTGTGTGCGTGGGGTGTGTGTGTATATACGTTAGTGTGTGCATGGGTGTGTGTATATGCCCACCCGTGTAGTGTTGCCATGGGGTGTGTGTTATGCGCACCCGTGTAGGTTGGTGCATGGGGGTGGTGTGTGTAATGCACCCGTGTAGTGTGTGCATGGGTTGTGGGTGGTATGACCCGTGTATGTGTCATGGGGTGTGTGTGTATGCACCCGTGTAGGTGTGTGCATGGGGTGTATGTGTATGCATTCGTGTAGGTGTGTGCGTGGGGTGTGTGTGTATGTGCATCGTGTGGTGGTGCATGGGTGTGTGTATATGCACCCGTGTAGGTGTGTGCATGGGTGTGTGTGTATGCGCACCCGTGTAGGTGTGTGCATGGGGTGTGTGTGTATGCACCCGTGTAGGTGTGTGCATGGGGTGTGTTGGGTAATGCACCGTGTAGGTGTGTGCATGGGTGTATGTGTTTGCAATTCGTGTAGGTGTGTGCGTGGGGTGTGTGTGTATGTGCATTCGTGTAGGTGAGTGCATGGTGTGTGTGTATATGCACCCGTGTAGGTGTGTGCATGGGGTGTGTGTGTATGCACCCGTGTAGGTGTGTGCATGGGGTGTGTGTGTATGCACCCGTGTGGGTGTGTGCATGGGGTGTGTGTGTATGCACCCGTGTAGGTGTGTGCATGGGGTGTATGTGTATGGCCCCGTGTAGGTTGTGGCATGGGTGTATGTATGTGCATCGTGTAGTGTGTGCGTGGGGTGTGTGTGTATGTGCATTCGTGTAGGTGTGTGCATGGGTGTGTGTGTATCACCCGTGTAGGTGTGTGCATGGGGTGTGTATGCGCACCCGTGTAGGTGGTGTCATGGGGTTTATGTATACGCACCCTGTGTAGGGTGGTGCATGGGGTGTATGTGTATGTGCCATTCGTGTAGTGTGTGCGGGTGTGTGTGTTGTGCATTCTGTAGTGAGTGCAGTGTGTGTGTATATGCCCGTCGTAGGTGTGTGCCAGGGTTGTTTGTATATGCACACCGTGTAGTGTGTGCATGGGGTGTGTTGGTATGCGCACCGTGTAGTGTGTGCATGGTGTGTGTGTATGCACCCCCTGTAGGTTGTGCATGGGGTGGTTGTGTATGCAAACCTGTGTATGCGCACCCGTGTAGGTGTGTGCATGGGATGCGTGTGCGTTCACACCGTGTACGTAGGCGTGTGGGTGCACGGGTATGTGCATATACTACGCATGTACTGCTCCTTATTCACCCAGACCAAGCTCTGGCACCGTGCTTGGTCACGGAGCGCAGAGCCCAGCGCGGGCCCCAACCTGCCCCAGCCGCAGCCCCGCCCCCGCCCAGAGTTAAGCCTCCCTCCGTGCTGCGGCCGCTGTTGTCCCATCCTCCACCAACGGTGAGACTCTCCACCCGCCCCCTCAGCACTGGGACCCGCAGCCGCGGGGACTGGCGGTGCCAGCGGCCCCTGACCCCACCTTGCTGGCCAGGATGCGGGAAACCTCATCGTCCACGGAGCCGGGGGCCACGGCCAGGTCGGGGTTGCTGCTGCTGATGCTCTTGGAACGGGCCAGGTAGAGGCTTGCGGGGCGACCGGAGCCACGGGCCAGGGTGGCAGCCTGCACTGTCACCGGAGGGGCCCCTGGGAACAGGGGGAACAGGGTCAGCACCCCACCCACCTGCCACCAAGACCTCTAGTCCTTTCCTAGACGGCTGCCCGTGACAAGTCACTTTCCCTCTCTGAGCCTCTAAGTTCCTCATCTATAAAATGGGTACAATGGCTGCCGCCTCATAGAGATAATAATGCCTGGCACACGGGTTGCTGCTATCATTAATTATTTGGCAAATGAAAAAAAACTCCAGCTTTATTGAGTGCTCACAATGTGCTAAGCATTTTGCATGGACTGCTGTATCATTTACCGTCATCAGTGACTCACGAGGTGGGTATTCTCATTGTTCCTGTTTTATAAAAGGGAAACAGGCTCAGAGAGGTGAAGTCACTTGCCCAGGCTCATAGAGATTGCAGGTGACAGAGCCAGGATTCAAACCCAGGCAGCTGGGGCTCTGCTCCGAGCGACAGAAGATGCTCGCTGACCGGCTGAATGATCCCCAGAGACCACGCGCCCTGGGATTGGGCAAATACCTCTCTTGCAAGTTGCCCGAACCAGCCACAGCTTGTGAGGCCTCAGGGCCTTTGCACGTGCTGTTCTCACCGCCTGAGACGCTCGTGTCCGAGGTCTTTTCCATCTCCCCGGGTTTTCCACCAACACTCACCACCTGGGAGGCCGGGCTCAGTGCCAGGCAGGCGAAAGGCATAGTGGACGTAGGCTGCGAGCTGCGGGCAGTGACCACGCGTGTCCTGGGCGGTCTCCAGGCTCCGGTGGACGAGGCTGACTACGTGGGCCATCGCTTCAAAGGCCCCACGGCCCAGGTTCACTGTCGGGCAGGGCAGAGGTCAAGCTCCAAGGCCCAGCGCCACTCACCTCCCCACCCACTCTCCAAAGACAGAGACATCAGGACCCAAGGGGGTCACGTGACCGCCGAGGGACCATGCGGGACTTGCTCTGGGCACAGAGGACTGGGGCCATTTTCCACATGGCAAAACTGAGGCCAGAGAGATAACTGGGCTATCAAAGGTCACTTAGCACCAGGGCACTGAGGAGCCACCTTCCAGATGGGGAAACTGAGGCCCGAGGCCACACTCGCTCACCAATCTGGCCGCCGATGATCGGGGGCCGCACAACCAGACGCACGAGCTTGTCCAGGACGTGGTGGGAGAAGGCCACGAGGGGCTCGGGGCTGGCCAGGCGCAGGGACGCCAGGCTGGCCCTCAGCTCCTGCTCCACGGTGCCCTCGCTGAGCACGGTGTCCTTGAGCCGGAACGGGAAGGTCCCCTCCTCCAGGACGTGCACCAGCGTGAAGAACTTATCCAGGTGCAGGTCCTGGGTGGGGGCGTGGGGGAGGCCCGGGGCGCTGAAGCCTCGGCCGCCTGAGTCAGCAGCTTCCCCGAGCGCCAGCCCAGCTGACCAAAGTCACGTCCACGGCCTGCCGCCCGACATCCCTGGCCGGTGGCGGCTGTTGCCCAACCCCGGGGCAGTGGGAGGGGACAGGGCAGGAGCCCGTACCTGGGGGTGCACGGAGGACACCGCAGTGAGCTCCACGCTGAACACACCCTTGTGCCCGTCCACCCAGCGCATGCCCGGCAGTGCCACCTGCAGGAACCAGGCACCGCTGGGCACCGGCCGGACCCCCCCCATCAGGCCACCCGGGAGCCCCAGCCATTGCGACCCTGTGGCCCGAGTGTGGCCCAGCCGGGGGGAGCAGCTGGGAGCCCCAACCCCAGCCCAGACCCCACAGACTACAGGGGACCACTGGGCAGGGTGGAAACCCACGTGCCAAGGGTGGGGACAGAGGGTGGGGACAGAGGGTGGACACTGGCTGAGTGAGTCAGGAAATAGCTTCACGGGGGGACGCGGGGCCCTGGGGGCAGCAGTGAGGACGAGGCTCCCCGGGGCATTGACAGCAGGGCAGGCGGGGGACTTGGGAGGGCTCTCGGGGGACATACGTCCGGGGTGAGCACGGAGTAGCTGGGCGGCGGCTGGTCCACGGACACGGGGAGGCAGAAGGGGCCGGTGCGCAGGCGGCCGTGCTGGAGCAGCGGGATCCACTGGGGAGAGGGGGGCCTCAGCGGCCGGGACAGGGCGGTCGTGCACGGGCGAAGGACGAGGTGCTCACGGGCCGAGCGACACCGGGGGCGGCGAAGCGTCCAGCACGGCCTCGAGGCCGGGGGCGCTCAGGCCAGGGAGTGGCGCAGGCTCACGAGGCTGGGGGACACGGGGCCTCAGGGCCCCGGGGCACAGGGGCGCAGGGCTGGACAGGGGCTCAGGCCACGAAACGAGCGGGGCTGGCAGGGCCGGAGGAATGCGGGGGGGGGGCGTGGCGGGGACTCGCCGGAGACGGGGGGCTCAGGGGGCCAGGGACGGATGAGGGAGGCTAGGATGGGGGCGGGGGCTCAGGGCCAGGGGACGGGTGCGGGAAGGGCCCTCCGAGGGCCGAGGCGACGCAGGGGAGGGGGGGCTCAGGGCAGGGGACGGTGGGGGGGGGCTCGCAGGTCCGAAGCGTGGGGCTCAGGGCTGAGGACGGGGGGCTCAGGGGCAGCGGACAGTGGGGGGTCCAGGGACTAAGGAGAGCGGAGAGGTCGCGCGGTGGGCTCAGGGCTGGGGGACAGGGGGGCTCAGGGCCGGGGACAGGGGTTCTCAGGGCTCAGGGCCAGGGGGGCTCAGGCTCGGGGGGAGGCGGGGGGCTCGGGGATCGGGCGCTCCACCGTGAAGCCCACGGGCGTCTCCAGCGCGGCGCCGGGCCGGGGGCTTGCACGGCTGCTGGTCGGCTGACGCCTGGCTGGGTTGCGTGACACGCCCGGACGTCGCAGCCTCTGACCTCCTCGTCAATCGCGCCGGGACCTCGCCCGGGATTACCCCCTCTCGCTCGGCACGCCTCCGCCACGCGGGGCCCCAGCGACCTGCGCCCGCCCCCACGGGTCCTCTCTCTGTCGGTCACCCACGGGCACCCCGACGCCTCTCATCCCTTCTTCTCCGCCCGCCGTCCGTCCTGTCGCCTGTCAGGGCACTCACCACTGGCGCCGCCGCTAGCACTCCCTCTCTCGTTCGCTCCCGTTCCCGCTGTCGCGCGTACTTTGCCTCGTGCGCCGGGCGTCGCCTCGCGCCCACTCGCCGCAGCTCGACTTGCCGAAGATGACCTGGGGAGCGAGCGCGTGAGGGGCCCGCCGGGGCGACCCCCCGCCGCCCGCGCCAAACACAACGAAACAAAACAACCAAAACCACCAACCGACAAGAGGCCTGGCTGGGGTCCTCGCCCGCCATGTACTGGAGCCGCACGGCGAGGTTGCGCACGGAGCCCTGGCGGCTGCTGAAGTGACGGCTACGGTGACAGAAGAGAGATAGCACGTAAAAAGCTCACATACAGAAAAGGGAACGGCTCAGAAAGGAAACGCCACAGGCCGTGCGAAACGGAGAACAACACGCTAACAAACTCAAGACAGAGGAAGCAAGGTCAACACAGAGGGCACGGGGGGCCTGGGTGAGGAGGTTGATGGGCAGCCAGACCGACGCAGGTGGGCGGCGACAGCAAGGGTCTTTTGGTGGCGCCAATGGGGCACACTGAGGCAGAGGGCAGGGAACACATGGACACTCAGGCCCAGAGTTCCAGAGCGGCCCGACGGCCCCTCCCCCAAGGACATGTCACTCGAGCAATGTGGCCTCTCAGGTGGGGAAACTAAGGTCAGAGTCCAAAGGTAGCGGTGGGGGTCAGAGTCCTGCCTCCCGGGTAACTCTATGCAAGCCCCAACCTCCCTCTGGGCCTCAGTTTCCCTATCTGTATAATGGGGTTGTCAGGCCTTCCAGCTGAGCATCTGCATTAATAACTCGACTAATGATGAGAAATGACGACAATGACAACTGCACCAAACACTCACACGGGACCTACTGTGCGCTGGGCTGCGTCCTAAGCGCTCAGCGCCAAGTAAGTCCTGTACTTCTCGCAGGCAGCCCACGAGACAGGACCAGCCTCACACCCGTCTTACGGGCAGGGAAACTGAGTCACTTGCCCACCGACTACCCAGGGAGTAAAGTCACGGTTAGCATCGATCTGGGGCCTTTGTGGGTCCCGCAGTCAGGCCGTGGGCTTTGGGAGCGTCTCCGCGCCTGCGCCCGCTCCCCCCCGCCACTGGCCAGGCCAGCGAAGGCCCCCGCATTGCGGGCGGGTGGGGCGCGCACGGGAGCAGCACCTGCGACAACGGCCAGCCGGGACAGCTCTGGGCCACAATCATCCGC